GGTTATACATTAGGGAGAATGATTTACCAGGAACGTGGCACCGGAGAACAGAAAGTGCCCCGTGTAATAATTACGAGATCATGTGCTACTGAGTCACAGAGAAGTCTTTGGTGTTCAGGGGAAAGAAGCAAGTCATCGGTGTTGCATTGCTCAGCTTCCCTTTGCCAAACCTCTGGCATCCTTCAGGACAAAGAAGTGAGAGTCCTCCACTGGCAAGGAAGGTTAAAATCCCCTACCCAAAGCAAGGAGGGCATGTCTGTGTGCCTGGTGCCGTATATGTGTCTCGTAAATCCCGCAGGGAGCATCGAATCTGGCAAATTAGTGGGCTGCTGTTCTGATCCTTACGTTTTTAATCACAAAAGCAGAGTCAGATTTGATTATATAGGGTTGTATATAACTATGTTCTTCTCAGAGCCACATAAATTAATAATAATAATAATAATAATAATAATAATAATAATAATAATAATTTTATTATTTCCCCAGCCACTCTGGGTGGCTTACAGCACATAAAAAATGGCAAAACATTAGAGAAACTTTTTTACTGATACAGGGTTGTCTTCAGATGTCTTCTAAAAGTCAGATAGTTGATTATTTCATTGACATCTGATGGGAGAAGTGACATGGGTGTGTGTGTGTGTTGTGAACACTTTCAAACATACAGAGCACTTTGTGAAGAGGACCAGAAAGGCTTTATGTCCCAGGGCAGAGCTCTTAAGTTAGCTGAGGGAGTTGCGTGTGATACTACTTACTCAGTGCAGTACAGTATGTGCTTGGTTTGATGGAAGTGTCCCCTGAGAGAAAGAAACACAGAAATTGTAAGGTGTGCAAGTAATTAATGTGATTACTCTAAATAAGGGACAGTTCATATAACACCGGTCCTGAAAAACCTGCATTGGCTCCCAGTACATTTCCGAGCACAATTCAAAGTGTTGGTGCTGACCTTCAAAGCCTTAACGGCCTCAGCCCAGTATACCTGAAGGAGCGTCTCCACCCCCATCGTTCAGCCTGGACACTGATGTCCAGCGCCGAGGGCCTTCTGGCGGTTCCGTCAATGCGAGAAGTGAGGTTACAGGGACACAGGGCATTCTTGGTGGTGGCACCCACCCTGTGGAAAGGCCTCCCATCAGATGTCAAGGAAATAACTCTCCGAATTTTAGAAGATATTTGAAGGCAGCCATGTTTAGGGAAGTTTTTAGTGTTTGAAGTTTTATTCTGTTTTTAATGTTCTGTTTTTAATGTTCTGTTTTTGAGGGACGCGGGTGGCGCTGTGGGTAAAAGCCTCAGCGCCTAGGGCTTGCCGATCGAAAGGTTGGCGGTTCGAATACCCGCGGCGGGGTGCGCTCCCGCTGCTCGATCCCAGCGCCTGCCAACCTAGCAGTTCGAAAGCACCCCTGGGTGCAAGTAGATAAATAGGGACCGCTTACCAGCGGGAAGGTAAACGGCGTTCCATGTGCTGCGCTGGCTCGCCAGATGCAGCTTTGTCACGCTGGCCACGTGACCCGGAAGTGTCTCCGGACAGCGCTGGCCCCCGGCCTCTTGAGTGAGATGGACGCACAACCCCAGAGTCTGGCAAGACTGGCCCATACGGGCAGGGGTACCTTTACCTTTACCTTAATGTTCTGTTGAAAGCTGCCCAGAGTGGCTGGGGAAACCCAGCCAGATGGGCAGGGTAGAGATAATACATTATTATTATTATTGATTCAGGTAGGTAGCCATGTTGGTCTGACGCAGTCAAAAATAAATTAAAAATATTTTAGCACCTTGGAGACCAACTAAGTTTGTTCTGGGTATAAATTTTCATGTGCATGCACACTTCTTCAGATACTTCTGACAATTCTTCAGGTATCTGAAGAAGTGTGCATGCACACGAAAGCTTATACCCAGAACAAACTTAAATATTATTATTATTATTATTATTAATTATTATTATTGTTTGGCCAGTTTTCAGTGAATGTTTATAGTATGTGGAGTAGAGCCTAGGAGGCATTTACACTGCAATTTATTAAACTGAGTTTTCACATTTATCTGAGAACGATTGTGTTACATCAGTTGGCTGTCTACGTTGCATTGAATGACTGAGGTTGCAAACTTATTCCATTGGGCTCAGCGGAAATTTCTCCCAGGTAAACATACATAGAAAATATACATGCAGTTCAATCTGTCGTCCCAAGGCAGGCTCTTAGGACTCACTTTCACTCCCTTCCCTCTGGATTAACAGGAGAATCATTTGCATATCAACTGGGGGAGGGGTAAGGCTCCTTTAATAAAATAGGGGCTTACTCCCAGGCAAGTGAATATAGCACTGCAGCAAATTTCCCACAATGCAGAATGTGGTGTTCTGCAAACACGATCGCTCTGCCTCCTGCATATGCACACTTGTTTTGATTGTATGGCTGTATTAAATCCTTTAACACATTATCTTGTGTGATCCGTTTGATTGCTGTTTTATGTTAATTCTGTAAACTGTCCAGCAGAGGGCAGGCCAGAGGAACAGACTGACTTCATGCCACTGTGTTCTAAAAGTATGGAAGCGGCTGCATCCGTTTTCTACACACCATGTATCGTTTTATAATCTTGTATCGTGGCCCCACAGCTGACTCCCCTGCCCCTCTCTAGACTGAAACTCCCCAGTGCTAACCCCCATTGTTGGGGAATACGCTTCAAGCTCCAGAGCTGTAAAACTGTTTGAATATTGTATTTTTATATTGTTGCAACTGGGACTGACTGACGAAGAGCGAGTCAGAAATCAAACATATACATAAAAAAAAATAATACTTCTTGGTTGATTTATATCAAGCCAATTATGACAGTGACACAGTTCTGAGGCAGCTATTTTCAATCCCCTATCAAACACTTAAGTTTTTGCCCCGATTCAACATTTTTGTTGAGTTACTTTACTGTAATAAATTGTACAAAACTTCAGGGTTCCTTCATAAACACGCTACCTGAATGGCCCCAGAATCCATTTGGGCCCTGGAGATAGAGGATGGGAGTGTTCATCCTTTCCCCCTCTAAACCTGGATCATTTCCCTGATCCAACCCACCTCATCCACTGCTATTTGTCCTGCAGAAGAAAACAGGAAGAGCGCTCAGTTCCGACCATCTATCATTCGAATGCTTTTGTTGAAATTCCTGCATCGCAGAGGGGTGGGCTGGATGACCCTCAGGGTCCCTTCCAACTCAACGGTTCTATGATTCCATGATTCACAGGACAACAGTTTAACATCCACCCCTCTCCTTTCATAAGCTGGAGGTTTGGGGATGATTACAAATCTGCTAGTGATTCTAGGAGCCACCAGAAACTTTGTTGTTTTTGCTACAATGCAACTGACTAAATACAATTAGTCAGAAAGCAGCAAATAAAGGGTCTTATTTAAAATGTTACAATTACAAAGACACTCCACGAGGATGGCAGGAGCAGCGTGCCATGCCCTGAACTAGTTCAAACAACCCGCTCAGTCTTCAGGAACCATGGCTGTTCAATAGCCCATTGTTGCACGAAGTCTCCAGAAGATGGCAGCATGCAGGTAAGACATTGCCCCTTTTCTGGAAAGAGGAGATTTTACCTTATCTCTTCCTTGGTAGCCTCCAGAATAAATCACAGCAATGCACCAGAGAGTGATGTTTTCGAAGAAGACTGCAGAAACAGAATGTCTGTTGCTCACCACCTAATGGCACACAGCTGTCCTGATTTGCAGCATCACCAGTTGCCAATTAGCATCCAGACCCAATTCAAGATGCTGAACCATGAAGACCTTGCATTGCCCAAGACTGCCTCTCTTATTTCAAGAAGTGGCACTTAGCCTTTGCAGCGTAGGCTGGGTGCTTTCACTCTGTGAAGGACATGTTATGGGTAGCTGAACCTGATACTACTATTGGTCCATGGCTGTGTGGCAACCCTCTGTTGTCTTTTCCTGCTGAAGGGGTCAAAAAGCCCATCTTTCTAAGGGCCTTTGGCTGCTGGCTTTGTTAATTGCTGATTTCCTGCATGTTCTATTAATTGCAACAAATAGTTATTTTATTTTTTGGTGTTTCATATAGTTATATTTTTGTTTTTACATGCTAGCTGTGTGTGTCTGTGTGTCAAAACAGATCATAGTGGCTTGTAATCAGGATAGCCAGAGAGTGCCATGTTCAAGACAGACACGAAAAGGGGACGAGTTTGTGAGAAGAGTGAAAACCCCACAGGACGAGGCACAGCATTAAAGTCAGAAGTCCCTGGAGCTGTGGCGAGTGTGTCGATATTGCAATTCAAGAGCCTTTGAAGATGGCATCACGTCTCACCTGGGAAGAGTTGGCAGTCCTTGGGATTGAATTAAAATAGTGCCTGCGGGGCTCCTTGGCTCCTGTCCAGGGCTAGCCCAAGACACTTTGCTGCCCAAGGCAAAGCAACAAATCCCTCCCCTGTCCCCACATCTCCAGGGCCACGGCATCCACATCAATAGAACATTAGAGTTTGCTGCCCTCTTAAAGGTAAAGTGACCCCTGACCATTAAGTCCAGTTGCAGACGACTCTGGGGTTGCAGTGCTCATCTCGCTTTATTGGCCGCGGGAGCCGGCGTACAGCTTTCGGGACACCTGGCCAGCATGACTAAGCCACTTCTGGCGAAAACAGAGCAGCGCACGGAAACACTGTTTACCTTCCTGCTGGAGCGGTACCTATTTATCTACTTGCACTTTGATGCGCTTTCGAACTGCTAGGTTGGCAGGAACAGGGACAGAGCAAAGGGAGCTCAGCCCGTCGCAGGGATTCGAACCCAGACCTTCTGATCGACAAGCCCTAGGCTCAGTGGTTTAACCCACAGCGCCACCCACGTCCCTGCTGCCCTCTTACGCCACCCACAATGAGATGCCTATAGCAGATGCCTTAGTCTGCTCAATGGTAGGCTGGAACTGGCTTTTTTCCCCTTCTCCTTTTGGCCTCGGGGGATTGAAAACACACTCACACCTCTTACAGCCTTGCAGAGAAGGCAGGTCAAGGTCACAGGCACAAAGACTCCCTTTCTCCTGGTTTATTGTGAGCTCGGCTGCTGAACGGTTTTGGTAACATTCGAGAGAGAACATTGCAACAGCTGATTAACGACACTGCAAGGAAAAATGACAATTCTACAATTTCCAATGTGTCTATATTACACCATAAATACACAGACAGGAGAAACGGGCAGGGGCAGGGCCTGCGTCCCAGAGCTCTCGAGGAGAGAATGCAGCTGGAGAGTCTCTCAGAGACCTCATTGCTCTCCACAAATGCACTCCCAGGACAGGTCCTACGGCAGGAGTTTGTGGAGAGAAACCGAGGCAGGGCCGGGAGGGAAAGGAAAGGGTGAGGGGTATTGTTTGTAAGGTTCTTTTACTCTTTTTAGAATAATTTACAATCTGCTTATTCACAACTATGTACAGTCCAAACCCGACCCAACAAACTCATGGAACAGAACTGCATACAAAAATAAAAGCTATACACAAATCAGAAAGAAAGAATTCCTCTCTCTTTCCCTTTTTGTTTTTTCTTCAGTTGAGGCTTCAAGAAAGAAAAGTGAAAAAATACAAAGAAAATGGCTACAGTACTGTGTTCAGAAATGGCCATGTTCTCCTTGGGTAGGGAAGGAGATGCCCTACACTGGCTTTTGAGCAGAGACCAGGGGCTGCAGCGGCTGGCAGGTGTTCTAGGGGCTGGCTGCCTTGCAAGAGCTAGCCCATCTCTCCACCCCAGTTGTCCCCCTGCCCACTACTGTGCTTGGGTTGGAACAGTTCTGGAAGGCTACTTGCCGCCTGCCTGAACCTATGTACTAGGAGAACTGGCCAAAACAGAAGTCAATGCAAAGTGGGTGGGATGGAGACTTTGCAAAAGAGGAGACATGGCTTTGGTTCGAAAGCTCAGCGTGGTGATGGGAATGGGACCTCACTTGTTATTGCTTCACCACTTTACATGGAGGGGAGAGATTAGGGTAGGCACATGCCAGCCCTGAATGGCCACGTAAGACAGGCTAAAGGGGATCCCAGTCCTGGCTCATGTCCACTCATTCAAGTCTCACATTGTCAAAAGGCCAATCCGCTCACAATTCACACTTGTGCTGCCGCTCTCCCACTTTCCTCTCCCTCTGCCTCCAGAAAGAGGGGTTGGGCCCTCTAGCCAGTGGGGGTGGGGGAGTGATCCCCCAGAATCCAGCCAGCCAAGGACTAGGCTACAGCTTCCCCAAGTGGGCAGAGGCACAAGAAAAGAGGACCCACAATGTTTGTTTCCCGCGGTTCTTAGGACTGGATTCCCTAGCACTGCTTGTCCATGCAAATATCTGATGTCCCCAGAGCTAAGGAGAACGTCCATCCAGGGGTAGGGCAAGGCATTTTGTGGATGGAGAAAAGTTCACCCTCTTCATACCAGGACAATGATGCAGGATACTAGCAAATTATACTCCGCTGGCTGGTTAAGGCAAAGAATAAAAACAGCCAAAAAGATCTCCTTTTGATATTCCACAGAGCAGATTCTTTTCTTTTCTCTCATGGTGATTTCTGGTGAAAGGGTGAGGCAGCAGGTCCTGTTTCTCTAGGAGAACTGCCAGGAGGCGGCCCGGGCTCCTTGTTCTATGCCCAATAATAGAGCAGGGGAAGAGATCGTCAGGAGAGCAGCATTTGGCATGGAGATCTGTATAGCAAGCTCAGCCCCGTGGAGGGAAAGAAAAGCACATTTCAGACCCCCTTCCTCTGGCCAGTTTCATGCATGTGGCAAAGCTGCCTCTGTATTTCACTTCAAGGCAAGTGACCTTAAAGTAAGAAACCTGCATACTGCTGAGACTCCTCTTTTGGCTGGATTTTCTGTCGACCTGATTGAGCTCTGAGAGATGGAGCTGCTCTGGAACCAGACCCAGGGTCTGAAAAAAGCTGTTGGCTTATGTCACAGCAGTGCGAGAATGGTGTGGGGTTTCTGGGCACATGTAAACACATAGTTTTCCTAGGAAGGTGGTGGTCTGAGGTGGATCCTCACCTCTGGAACCAAGAGTGTTAGAGCCTCTAGCCTTTGAACTTAATAAAGCCCCCCCACCCCACCCCAGCATACAAACTTCACAAGTCAATCTATGTGATCCAGCCACATTACACTGCATTGCACAGAAATAAAGATTTGGGTTTCATTCATACAGACTCTGCTTGTATCAAGCCTCCTGTGAGAAAAATATGTGCCTAGAGGCACATGCAAATTGTTTGTTTGTTTGTTTGTGGTCAGTACACTTGCATTTCCTAGTTGACAAACCTGTAAGCAGGAAGAGGGGTACTGCAGTTTAGAGATTCATCAACTAACAAATCACAGGTTTTCAGACATAAAGATGGTGGTAACCTGCAAATTAGTCCTTAAATAATCATCACTGAAAAACACAAGTCTCTCCTCTTATTATTGGGTTAGGAAGGATGCAAACCAACCCCCCTCTCTCCATCCCATCCCCATTACTGGGAGAGGAATACTCACCCCTGAGGTCCCCTATGGAGCTGTCTGGGCAAGTTGGCCAGTTACAACCATTCAATCCTGGCCATATTGCCTTTTCTTTCTTTTCTTTTTTTTGTGCAAAATGGTAAACGGAGGAAGACTTGGCTATTTGGAAACTCAGATAAAATGTTTTGCTTATTTGATTTCTTGTTCCCTTTTGTTTTCTTTAAAAGCAATGTCTTCTCCCATTTGCTTCTGGGAGAATGTTATGGCGTCACAGGCAAAAAAAAAAAAAAAAAAAAGGAACTCCCCACCTGCAAACCATTATTATTATTATTAATTTTTTTAAAAAGTGCATCGGAAAGAAAGAAAGAAAGAAAGAAAGAAAGAAAGAAAGAAAGAAAGGAGGCAAAGTCCTTTCTTCTTACCAGTCCGATCAAATCAAAATAAACTCACAAAAATAAATTAGTAGTAGCTTAAAAAAATAAGTTACAAAAATCAAAGTTATTAGAACTCTCCCTCCCCCCCCAAAAAATCCCCAATGTTTTGAACACCCTGTTTTCCAGCTAGGAGGGTTATGCTGTGATGGGCAAAGGAATAAAGGCACCAAACGACCCAGGAGGGCATGTCTGAAGCAAGGGAGCCAGATGAACAGAAGGGGCATGGGTGAAAATTATTACTGGTTTTTGGCATTGAAGCCCTGCAGCGTCTCTGCTTTGTTTTACTACGAATGGCTTAAAATACTATTATTATTATTATTATTATTATTATTATTATTATTATTCCTCCTGCTTGGCCTTTGCCACCACTTCATACATGCTTTTCATCACCATCGCCCTCCTTCTGTTCCTGATGGCACCAGTCTTTTTTTTTTTTAAAGCAGCAAAGGAAAATAATAAAAACCCACTCGGCAACAACGGAGAAGAAAGAAAGAAAAAGAAAGCAAAATTAAAGGTAAGATTATTTCTGGAGTGCTTGGGCCGCTCACTGAAGCAGCAGGGCTACTGCCCCTTGCTTGGGCCAACCTGGTTCTACAGTTGCTGTGTATATTTCCCTTTTTTTCTTGTTGATTTTCTTTTTATAAAAAATACAATAAAAATAAAAAATGAGTTTTTTCGTTGTTGTTTTTTTATCCCTGCCCCTCCCTCATGAAAACTTTCGTGTGTGTGGTTTTTTTGCTTTTTCAGTTGTCCCTTCCCCAAAGTCATGATGTGCCGGGAGACGTGTCGTTCACTGTGTTGTCCGTTAGTCTGTCTTGCCCTTCCTGGGACTCGTGTTGCTGCTCCTCTGCGGCTGTGTAGTAGCTATTGTCCTCGTCGCCGGGGCTGCTGTGGTCCTTTTCAGACTGCTCTGAGTCCTCCCCCTCTTCCTCCAGAGTCAGCTCAAACTGGAATTTCTCCAGGCAGGCTTCATCGTCCTTCTCCGTGTCGTCCGGAGGGGGAGAGGGGCTCTGGGGGATCATGCTGTGGTACCAGTCCCTGTTGTCCTCGAGGGTGTCCAAAATGTCTTGTGCATCTGGGTGCACCAGGTCCGCCCACGTCTCCCACAGCGGGTGCACGATGTAGTCAATGAAGCCCACCTGAAACACAACCGGGGGCAGGGAAAGAAGAGGGTTGGTAACAGAACAGTGAGCAGTATTGCTGTTAGGTACTGAGTTGAATAGGATCCAAAATGCAGCAGTCTGATTGGTCCTAGAACAATAGGATTCAGAACGCAGCAGTCTGATTGGTCCTAGAACAATAGGAACCAGAACGCAGCAGTCTGATTGGTTCACAGGAGCCACCCAATCCAGCTCCAGGTGGAAGTGAATCCGCAACCTGATTGGCCCACAGGAGAATCCCGGAATTAGCCAATCATGTGGGGCGTATTGTGTAAATAATGTATATAAAGCAGACATTCTGGGGGAACTTCCATTCCTCCTTACCACTATGAGTTGAATAAAGAGCATGAAATCCACTCTCGACTCCGGGTATATTTCAATTGCCAACTGCAGTCCCTTAAGGGACACCCATGAACTCATCCTGTGCTTCCTCAGGCCACAGAAAAAAGGCCTGGGTGCTTTTGTAACAGGTACATTGTGGGGGGCTTGAGCTAAGGGCCCAGGAAGCTAAGGGGGCTTGAGCCAGCCTGACAGAGGAGGCCACACCAGGCTATGTGGTCCCACAGTCTGACAGCATACAGCAGCTTCTTTTTGCTTAAAACAGCAGTTTCTTACAGGGAAAAGGCAGGTTTCTGGCAATGGATCCTCTGTACCAACTCATGGCCGCCGATTCCTTGCACAAAAAAGCACTTGCCTGTAAAAGACTCAGCTATGTATCCTGAAAGCCATAAGCTGCTGGCTCACAGTCACAGGAAAGAAGCTCGCTTTCATCCCAGTGCCAGATTCCTGCTTTCCTCCAATGGACATGGCAGCCCCTCCTTTCTCCTGTAATGGATCTGGGGTTTCCTTTCTCCTTCTGGACTGGCTATGTTTACTCCCTACTTTCTCCCTGCCCCCCCAACTTTTGGTGAAGTTGTATTTTTGCTGAAACTCAGGGATGGGAGCACGATGATGCTCCAAAGATAAAGTGGGTTTTTGGCAGCAGCCATCCCATGTCTGAATTTTCCTAGCCTTGGGACCCCTCTGTGCCTCCCTGGAACATTATCCCACTTGGCCAGCACGCACCTGCGATTTCTCCACGGAGGCCGTGTGCTTGTCGCACATGGGGCTGATCTCCATGCCCCGCTCCCGCTCTTTGTCCCCCTGCCGGAAGAACTCTTCCATGATCCGGTCTGTCCATTGCCGATAGAGCTCCAGCGGCTTCGTAGGGTTGCTCAAATCCGCACAGTGAACCATGTTCCGCAGGACCTGGTTGTAGTCAGAAAGCGCAAGGACAGTCAGAGAGAGGCAAGAATGCGGAAGCAGCTCCTTCCCGATTCTCAATAATAATAATAATATTTTATTTATATCCCGCCCTCCCCAGCCAAAGCCGGGCTTAGAGCATCTAACAACAATAAAAGTAACACAGCATTCTAAAATCAATTCATTTTAAAATCAGTTCAAAATCAAATTAATGGCAACCATTGGGCTAGAGTTCTGTGAGGATTACCAAAGGATGGGGTCAGACTGTGCCTTGGCCAAAGGCCTGGTGGAACAGCTCTGTCTTGCAGGACCTGCAGAAAGATATCAGGTCCCGCAGGGCCCTAGTCTCTTGTGACAGAGCGTTCCACTGGATCGGGGCCACAGCCGAAAAATCCCTGGCTCTGGTTGAAGCCAGCCTAACCTCCCTGTGGCCCAGGACCTCCAAGATGTTTTTGTTTGAAGACCGTAAGGTCTTCCGTGGGACATACCAGGAGAGGTGGACCCGTAGGTCCGAGGGTCCTAGGCGGCTGAGCACCAAACCCTTGGGAAGCAAAACGGTGAGTTGTGTGTCTGCATGTGTGCAGAGGGAGAAAAGACCTAGACGGAATCAGCCCCCCTCTGGTCTCAGAGCCTAAGGAGGTTGGCGAGTGGGAAACCTAGGAAAAGGACTGTGCAAATGAAGCAAAGGCTCTGGCTGTCCAACCCATGTGGCAAATTTCCTGCGCCACCACAGCAGTAAGGCCCTCTTGGTCTGCTACTTGGCGTGGGCAACACCAGCGCAGAGGGCCCAAAGGAGGGTCTGCAGCTTATTCAGTTGTCAGGTGACAAAAGGAGCCAATGGGCTTTCTAAGGTCTGGGGGGTGGGAAGTGAACGCCATCATTGTCGTCACTACTGCCAGGAAGATACAAGGAGCCACAGATTGCCCAGCCACCTGAAAGGAGGGGCTCCAGCCCCAGGGACACAATTATGCATGTGTTTGTATGCCCAGGCTGTTTTTCCCTGCAGGATCTTTAAGGCAGGTAAAAGGTAAAGGACCCCTGGCCGTTTACGTCCAGCCAAAGGTGACTATGGGGTTGCGGCACACATCTCGCTTTCAGGCCGAGGTAGCCAGCGTTTGTCTGCAGAAAGCTTTCCGGGACATGTGGCCAGCATGACTAAACTGCTACTGGCACAACGGGACAGCGGAACAGAAGCCAGAGTGCACGGAAATGCCGTTTATCTTCCTGCTGCAGTGGCACCTATTTATCTACTTGTGCTGGTATGCTTTCTAACTTTAAGGAGCAGCAGCTGAACCACAGGGCCTTTTCCCAGTCTTAACTGTGTTTTCAGTGTGTGTGCTTGTTTAAAATTTTTAATATTGTATGTATTGTGTGTTTATATTTTCTTTCTTTGAAGGCTTCCTTGAAAGGCTGTTTTTAGGCAGCAGGCCAACAATTTAAATAAAACAATGTCATCCGTCCACCTTCCCGCCCAAGCCTCAGGTGCTGGACTGGCTCAACAGCTTGAGCAACACATCTGAGAGCAAGCTGCTGCCAGGCGACCCTTGCAGCTGCTTCCCAGCTTCCTTGTGGCCATTTTATCTGAATGCCAGTTCCGGGACCAGCTGCACTTTGCCTCCCCAGCCTGCCACTGTGGTGGGGACTGACCTCCTTCCTGCTTATCCTGGGCAGGGCTGTGTCTCTGGACAAGAGGACCTGACCATCCTTTCCCAATCTGTAGCATGCAGGACTTCATCCAGCCTTGCCCACCTGTATTCTGTCAGTGTAGTTGTCCAGCAGAAGCACCCCTGAGCTGGTCACTTTCTTGGTCTCCACCATCGTCTTCAGGTCGGCCAAGAGGCTCATATGTTTGGACATGTCGGTAGCCAGGACCTGCAGAAGTAGAAGCCATAATTTTTGATAACGGAAGGGGATCTCACTTTCATGGGCTCCATGCCTTTGTTCGTGCTCCATCCTTCCTCCCAGGGAATTTAGGCTCCTGTGCAGACAGACAGCAACCCAATGTAGTTTTCTTTCATCTGGCCCAGAGGTTTTCGACCTTTCTGAGTCCACGGCTCCCTTGACCAACCTTCTTTCTGCAGCACCCCAGTGGGGCTCAGGAGCCCAGTTCTGTCACCCGTTGCCTGCAGAGCTAGCAGTCTCTCACCCTTTTTCAAACACCCTCCCTTGTGGAGGGTTCCCTCAGCCTCCCCTCTCCTTGGGAGTCCTCAGGGCAGCCGCTGCTGCTGCTCATGGTCTCTGAGCTGCGCCCCCTGCCCCAAAGAGAGGTGACTTCTCACACTGCCCCACAGGGGTCTAGGACTTCCCAACAGCAAGAGCTGAAGGACAGGCTCGCTGGACTCCCTCACCTGCTGGCTTGCTTACTCCGAGGCTGCCTCAGCTCCTGTCAACCAGCACCCCCTGGCCAGCCTCAGAGGCACCATTCGCCTGGGGAGCTTGTAGCCAGGGCTGCTGCCACAAACAGCCATGCAAGCCTCTGGGAGACAGAGACTCGAGAGGACATCAGAAGAGGGAGGGAAGGAAAGAGGGACAGAGGCCAGTGTTGCCCACGGCACCCCTGACCATCATTCAAGGCATCCCAGGGTGCCACGGCACACGGGTTGAAAACCACTGGCCTAGCCCCTCCATGAAGCCTAGTGACTGTGGGACTGCCCTCTCTAGGGGGGCTTCCACAGTCCTCTCCTTAGTGCTCTTGAGGTTGTTCTACCATATCTGTTCTGAGGAGAGACAGGCTGAAGAAACACCAGAGCTGTCAGCTGATGAAACCATTTTTAGATTACTTAATCAGGGACCTTTTAACTGATTATTTTAATCAACTAAATTTACATGAGTTTGAACATTATCATAACGCCAGTGAGCTAATCTCTCGCCCCTCCCCACCTTCAGGATTCTCTCTGAAACAACAGAAGCAACCTTGAAGCTCCTCCTAAACCAGGCTGGGACTGTGGGGTTCTGCATATCCTGGCATTTAAGCAAATCTTGCAAAAAGTCTGCTTCGTCTGTCATCACCCACCCGGAACAGTTGGCAAGAAAATGACTCTTTTGCAAGCAACGCATCTTAGTCCACTTGGCTCTATCTCAAATATTAGACAGAGCCAGTGTGCCTGTTTGGGGCTCATGGGAGACGGGACCGGATGTTGGGCCTGCAGGGCATCAACACAGCAGGCAGCTGCCAAGGATGCCTGTGCTCTAGTTGCTCTGATAACACCATCCCTCCAACCCACAAACTGCTGACGGGCCAAGCCTTTTCCGACTGGGGTTGCCACGTACTCATCAGCAGGGTCCTGCTATGAGTGGGCCCTGTGGCGCCCAGAGCAGTCTACAAAGTGGATGGCTGATCTAGAAAATGGAAGGATGGATGAGGAGGGAAGGAGGACCCCCAGAGAGAGGGGACTTCGTTCTGCCTGGCAAGCTGCAATGCTTGTGCTAATGGGACATGTGCCGTCATGCGACACGCAATTCCACCCACCCTATTTTTACTGCCAGGGAGCGGGAGGCTGCTTGCTGGTTTTTCTGTCTCAGCCTTGGACGCTGCGTATCTGAACTCTGGGCGTTGGTGACATTTGGGGATGTGCCTTAGGCAGCGATGTGCCGTGTGCTACCATGGTCAATATGTCAGAGTCACGGTATGCCACTGTTTCAAATTATATAGTCCTGCTTTTGGGGACCAGAGCAGAGGGGAGCAACACAGAAGCCAGCGAGACGGGAGGCAGTTTCTGCACTAAGACAGAGGATCAGCCTTGCCACCCATTCCTCAAATCCCAGGTCACATTTTCCTGCTTGAGGTGCAACTACAATTTCCTCCTGTGTTGGTCTTTGCATACAACTGCTGCCATGACATGTGTACAATGGGCAGCAAAGGAATGACAAAAGACAAATCAAAATTATTCTGCTCATTAGAAGGTCCACCGGCTTGGTACTTCAGACAGAAAGCCTGACAGGGACTATGTTCCTTCATACCTCTGCTTTTAAACAACTGAATTCCCCAAGGCAAAAAACGAGGAATGGAACCTCGAACTGGGAGACCCAGCCCAGGATTGGAGTAGGGGAAATGCAGGCTTGTTCTTGGAAGCAGCCAATGGCTCTCCTTTCTGAGGCTCACCATGTCGATGACCATCTTCCGCAAAGTCTGTCGCTGCCTCTTGCTCAGGTTCTGGAAAATATCGCAGTTCTCTTCCTGCAGCAGCTTGAAACCCACCGCCAGGTGATGGTTCTCCAGGACTGACTCGTCGTTGTACATCAGCGCCAGCTCCGAATCTGCCAAGGAGGATCACGTTAGTCGGTGTCACGGAGAACAGGAACGTATATTTCATTTTAGTTGCTGACATCAGCATATGGCTTACAGGATAAAAAAACAAATGAAATAAAAATGAAACCATCAAACAATCTGAAATTGCCTGGAGCAGCAGAAAGGAATCATGAAACAAAATGCAGCAATAAACCACAACACTCTTCAAAACCAAGGTTTGTTGAATACATATAGTCTGGGAGGCATGTGGCTCTCTAGGGGTGAGGGGGGCGAGTTCCACAACCTAGGCACCACAGCCCTGTCTGGTGTCACTAACAACTGTACTGCCACCACGAACAAGGCCTCTGGTGACTAAATCAACAGGCAGCTGGATTTGTAAATTCAATCCCTGAGGTCCCGGAACACGTTACTTCTGGATTTCTCTGCTCGCGCATGCGCTCAAAATGACATCACACACATGCGCGGAAGCTGTGAAACACGACCCATGCAGTCGCGCATTACGTTTGCTTCAGGATGCAAATGGGGCTCCAGTACGGATCCCGTTCGCATCCAGAGGTACCACTGTATCTGCTATTTCAGAACAAAGAGGCCACGTAAGTCCTACAGAAGCAAAACATCTACAGAAGGAGGGAGAGCAGAACAACCCGCAAGAATATTCTGCCCTCGAATAACCCAGGAAGGCAGCACTTTTTAGTTATGCACCTCCCTGTAATTTTACAGGAGTTCCTTGCCCCCTTATCCACAATGGATTTGAAGAGCAACTTCTTTTCTGATGTTTGGAAACTACTGTCAAGGACTTTGTGATGCTCCCAGAAGTCCCTCATGTCCCCAGGAAGTCCTGCAGCTACTTTGCCAAGCCCAGACTTTTCTTAAAACACCTGCCGCCACCACAATCTCTTAAAGAAAACAGTAAGGCTTTCTCTTTATATCATTACACAAGTATTTTTTTTTTATGTTGCAAAATTATAAACTGCTTAACAGGCTGAGGTTATCGAAGTAGCGTACAATGAGGTAAAGACCATGTCTACAAACTCTAAAAACAATAAAACAATTCCTAGAGATGTACAATTAATATTTCATAAATGATGGGGTCACTCTTCAGGAAAAGCCTTCTCAAACATGACGAAACAAAATTATCTACACCAGACATGTGGGGTGAGATATATTTACCAGATAATCCATCCAGACAGGAATACAGACAGTTAAACGTGAACATATATTTAATTAAAGAGCAAAACAATCAGAACAAATAGTCCTTCTATACTGAAGTCTTACAGGTCTAGTTTTCTAATCTAACGCAGCTGCCTATCTTTCCACAACAGCTATCTGAATTCCTTTAAATATATACTTTATTATCTCCCTCACCTCATTTCTTCCTCACAGCCGCATTGTCCACCCAAACCGACATTCCCAGACACCCTTCTGGTGTAATCCATTTTAAGTCAACCCATTGTCCTGTTTCACTCCCCTGCTGTCAGTCATTCCTCTACAAGCTCTTCTATCACAAACCCACCCCTAGCAACTTCTATTTGGGATAAGTAAGTCTTCTTCCTTCCTTCAGCTCAGGGATAGGAGACCTTGGGCCCTCTAGACCGGGCATCCCCAACCTGTGGCCCTCCAGATGTTGTAGCCTACAACTCCCATGATCCCTAGCTAACAGGACCAGCGGTCAGGGATGATGGGAATTGTAGTCCAAAAACATCTGAAGGGCTGAAGGTTGGGGATGCCTGCTCTAGACATTGCTGAACTATCAGTCCCAGCAAGCAAGGCCAACAGTCCCAGCAAGCAAGGCCAACAAGCAAGGCTGGTGGGAGTTGTCATTCAGCAACATCTTGATGGTGGACCAAAGGTTCCTCACCCCTGATGTAGCTTGCCAGTGCTGAAAAGAGGCTCACAATGAATCCAACATTTATTTATTTCTATATGGCATTTAGGGCAGGATTCACTTAACCAGCCCCATCCATGGAAACCCCTGGAGCAATGTACAGGGAGAGGAGAGCAGGGGTGGAAGGAAATAATTTAATCTGCCAAGCAGCAATGCAAGTAAAAGCAGAATGATTGGAAGAGTGTGGAACTCAACCCCCCCCCAAAAAAATTATCTGCTTAATAAAAAGTATCTACCTGGATTCCATTTAGCATTTTTACACTAATGAAGTTACATAATCCTCTTAAGTATGATAAAGATCTGCTTTTGTTCGGTATTAAGTTGTCTACTGCACGAGTCAAGGCCCCCTGACAATTTGGGGAATGTCTGGAGCATGGACAAAAATTTGGGACAGTGGGATTATGAAAGGCTTTTGATGGCAAAATAAGGCAAGGCCCCAGTTTTATACCCATGACAATCCCTGTTTACTTCTTTCTGGTGGTGATCGCTATCAGGGGGTTCCACTTGCATGAGGGTAAGGAGGGAAGACAGTAAGTTCGAACTGGAAATTTGTTTGCTATCAGTATTGAAAGAGATGAGCTAATTCCTCTTTAGAGTGTCCCCCTCCCTGGCCCCATGGCTGTGACTGAGTGGGAGAAATTGCTTCAGTCCCCAGGGCATCTTCCATATCTGATTTGCCTGGCTAGCTTTTGGTAACCCTGACATCTTTCCCCCTTTGCATCCCTTCTAGTTTTCTATCACGTGTTTTGAGAAGGGTGCACAATATGAAGGTCACCGGGAAATTCAGCTGGACTAATTCCCTCCCCTCCCGAGCAGAGCTGGGAAAGGAGGGCGAGTGGCAGCCTGGAGAAGAAGGGCAACGCTGAAAATTACCTTATACAGAATCAGGGCCACGATTCCATCTCTCTCAGCACCATCCACACTGGCTGAGGCTTTCAGTGTTTCCGGTGAGAGCCTATCCCTGCCCTGCCTGGGAATTCTGGGGATCGGGGCTACGGCCTTTCACAAGCGACTGCTCTCCCTCCCCCCTCTGAAAGTTTAGCAGTGGGACTCTCAGAAGGAGGCCATGCATGTGTGTAAATTGTGCACACACAGGAGCATACCTGAGAGGGCCTCACCTGTCCATCTTAGAGTGCTCTATGCCAGGTCTCCTCATTTCAGGAAGCAAGAGCATTCTCTGCAGTGGTGGTTGTTTTAAAACCATACAAAACAGACACTCGTGGCAAAGATCCATTTATCTGGCTGCAAAAGCCCATCAGAACAAACACATCTTCACTGCCATGTGATGCTCAGGATGTATTCCTGACCCCCACAGAGCCAATTCCAGGGACCTTGTGCAGGACTTCCACTAATAATAATAATAATAATAATAATTTATTATTTATACCCCGCCCATCTGGCTGAGTTTCCCCAGCCACTCTGGGCGGCTCCCAATCAGTGTTTAAAACAGTACAGCGTTACATATTAAAAACTTCCCTGAACAGGGCTGCCTTAAGATGTCTTCTGAATGTCAGGTAATTATTTATCTCTTTGACATCTGATGGGAGGGCGTTCCACAGGGCGGGCACCACTACCGAGAAGGCCCTCTGTCTGGTTCCCTGTAGCCTCACTTCTCGCACTGAGGGAACCGCCAGAAGGCCCTCGGTGCTGGATCTCAGTGTCCGGGCTGAACGATGGGGGTGGAGACGCTCCTTCAGGTATACAGGACTTCTTAGGTGCATCTCAAACACTCGTTGCCCCAATTCCACGAGGCAGCATCTCTTTGGATCTGCCTTTACTCCCCCCTCCTGAAAATTTGCAAATTTTCTTGGGTTTTGAGGAAAGGGCGTTTGTGACATTTTAAATCTAGAATAAAAATCGGCGCAGCACCTTGGGCAAGTTTGCAAGCATGTGTGCGGGTGTCAGGTCTGAACTGGGCTTCCCTGTAAGGAAGATGGGGTGCTGTTGCTGCTGCCAGCCTCACTTTCTCCCCCAACCTGTTTCTTGTTCTCTCGCAAAGCATCAGAGTTCCCCCCTCCCGTGCCTAATTTTACTTTGCCGGCACACGTCCTCTCAGGTTACCTAGACAACAGGGACACCCTCTCCCACCCATTGTCTGATTGGAGAAAGGACTGTGCTTGCGGCAGCACAAAGTAAGGTGGAGGAGGAGCTGGCGACTCGAAGGAAAGCGCATGTTCGTGTTTTAGCTGAGCGGAGACAGGCTGCATTATCCCACCATCTGGGTACAGTGAAGAGTGGAAACACTCTTAAGTGTCACATGCAGAGATCTCAAGACAGTTACAGCCTGCATTGAGTAGCACACCCTACCCAAAGCACTGCAAGTTCCAGAACTGACCTTAGCAAGGTGTGTCTGGATATGGCCCTATGGTATTCGTATGAACACCTTTGCACAAGAATGCAAGTTTGCAAGTATTTCTCTGAGCGAGGTGAAAATAACTAAACCAGAAGCAGACAGGGTTTGTGTGTCAAAACTGTCTGCTGCTGAATCCATCTGGAGAGAAACAATGAAGCTCGTGACAGAAAAACAGTACTTCTGTCTTGTCAGGATTCAGCCTCAATCTGTTAGCCACCATCCATCCTCCAACCACCTCCAGACACTCACACAGGACCTTCACTGACTTCACTGGTTCTGATTTGAAAGAGAGGTAGAGCTGGGTATCATCCGCATACACAAGTCTCTCTTTTCTTGCAACAACCCTATAGCAACATTGTCAGAAGAAAAGCAGTTCAGCCGCAGGCATGATAAGGTGACATTACAAGGTGCATGCAAAAGAGGCACATTCAAATCCTTTTCCGTCCAAGAGCTCCTCCATATATGACACATATGCGTACCCCTCCCACTCTCCCCACCCAGTCATGTCCCCCCCACGACACCCCTTTGCCCCCCATCTCCCTGTGCTACTCACTGGTATTGATCAAGAACTGGTTGGAGACACCAGGGTGGTCCACATCATGGATGGCAGCAGCAAATATTGCAGCCAGGATCTCAAGGTCAGTGAAGACAGCCTGCAAAGGACAGAGGGAGAAGCTGCTACAGGTATGGTGTTTCTGTCCTGCTTCGTGGAGGAAGCTGGTGATTCGCTAACAAGGAGAGATGCATTGTTATGAAAGGGGCCCACTGCTAGCAGAGAGCAAGGCTAGATCCCAAACCCCAAAGATTTGTGTCTTGCCGCCATGTGAGGCTTACAGGCCAGAGCATTTCCTGGGCAGTAGTAAGTACGTATCAGGCCCCCATTGCACATGCAACTCTAATGGGATGCCATTCTACCTGGGGAAAAGACCATGGCATCCAAAAATTCCTCATATCCCAGGCTGGCCAGCCATTGCAGTAGACTGGTACAGAGCAGAGGTAGCTAACCTTTGGTGATACAAATCTTGCTGAACTACAAATCCCATCAACCCTGACTATCGACAGTGCCAACTGGGGCTGATGGGAGATGGAATCCAACAACATCTGGAAAGCCATAGAGGTTTTAACTCATGGGTTAAGTCATGGTTTCGGATGTAAAAACAGAAATAATAATAATAATAATAATAATAATAATAATAATATCAATGGGGCTAATTTTTCTAGCCTCTCAAAAGGAAGCATTGCCTATTGCTTATTATCATCCTTACCATTTCTATTGCTATGGTGTTTTGCAACACACATGAAGTTATAAGAATTGCCTGTCTAGATCAGAGTAGAGGTCCATCTGGGAAGCTCCTAACAGGGGCATGATTGGGAGAGTGCGTCACCCCCCTGTTGTGGCCCCCCAGCACCAGGAATGGTGCACTATATTGACTCTTCTGGGTGTTTAAACACTGTGCACTCCGTAATGCTCCACAGCGACAAGAATTAGGCAGGCAGCAGGTTTGCAAACATACTGTAATCTCTTGCATTTGCTAATAAGTCTTGCAATACTTATTGGAGCTCTGTGGCCAATAATCTGTCTTGTCTGCTCCAAATCGATATGCGAATGTCTGCTGCCCTCCTTCCATCTGCAGCTCCTGGCCACGTGCAAGTTTCCTCTCTGCTTCCTTTCTGCCCTAGTTTTCCTTTCCGATTCCTGGCTCTTGCCTTCTCCTCTCCCTCTCATTCTGCTGCAGCTTGCTTCTCCCACACCACCAGACTTAGGCCCCTACTTCATTTTTATCCATCCTCTCCTTGGATCTTCTGCCAGTATCTAAAATCAGAGCAGTTCAGCCAATGGCAGCCAGAGCCTCTCCAGGCCACAGACATCCACCCTGAGGCTGGCAGGAGTGGAGACAATCAGCCAGTGGATTCACCACTTAATACACCGGAATCCAGATGTTTTGAATCCTCGTAGCCCTGTGAAACATTAGGCTGGGAAATAGTGACTTGTTTAAAGGGTATTTGGGCCTAAGCACAGATTCCTCAAAGGCCAGGTCTGCCAAGTCCAAGTGAAGCACTACAGTCCCTGTGCTTATGACACAATCCTCGGCTACAGGCACCCAGTGAGCAATCTCCCCCACCCCCAAATAGGCAGGCAGGTGGACTGCCCAACCACCGCACAAACACACTCACACAATTCACCGGCTACGGAAGACAAACCCTTACATCTAAGGCAGGTGTAGACAGAAGAACGTGAGTGGACTGCGTGACGTCAGCAGCATGGAGGCTGTTGTGATAAGCCACGTCGGCGTGATAGTGGTCTTCTAGCGTCATGATGTAGGTGACTAATGTGTCCACGGGGATCTTGAAAGTTTTCAGCAAGTCTCTTTCCTGGGTGGGGTGGAATAAGAGGAGTGAAGCGTTTGCTGGGAAAGTCTGGCATCAGCCCCCACCTAAAAAAGGTTGCTCAAATGAGTGCTGTTATCTTTCTCTTTCCCGTAGTGGAAAAGATAAAAGCGAGGGACAGAAACTTGTGGAACCTCGAGCAGCCATTACAATACACCAAGAGAGGATGAGCGAAAGGCTTCTGCCCACACACCGAGCCAGAGATCTCTCTTCCGTCTGCCAGAGCCCCCTCCCAGATATCACCATTCAACATAGATTAAAGAATATTAAGTACTCTACAGAAAGAAAGCAAAAGGAGAAAAGGGGCCCTCCCTCTGACTGACAATCTCATGGGAACATCAATCAGAAATAGATCTGCCTTTTCTCATCTTAGGCAATCTATTCGATCCAGTCCCACAGGCGGGTGGGGGATAGCCTAGGATCCATTGGATCACAAGTTGGCACTGCTACCATCAAGTTGTGGCAATGGGCTCCAATCCTGGCCTCTTTGCTGTGCCAGCTGCCCACTTCTGCCCTGGCCAGAGCAAGTGGTTGGGCTGTGGATCAAGCCCCACTGCTGCTGGCCAGATGTAGGATTGCAGGCTAGCGATCTTATTTATTGTGGCAAAAGCATTTGTGGGATGGAGCCACTCTGTCAATGCAGTGGACCCAGGTAGGCTCAAGTCCATAGAAGTTTATAATAAATATATTTACTAATGTTTGATGGCGCCACCAGGAGCCCCAACCTGCAACTCAGCCAGATCTCTCCTTAAATGTCCCCTCTGAGGACAGGGAGAGGACTTGGAAGTATCATCCACCAGGAGACAAAACAATTTGACTCAGAAAACAGCCAAGTCTCAAACAAGCTGCAAAAAGGGCACCTCTTACACTGAAAGTGCTCAGGGAGATGAAATCATTAAACGAAAGAACTCTCCCGAAATTGACACACTCCCTGCAAAAAGTGCTCGCCCCTTCACTTTTTGTGGAATCCTCCTTGTTTTTTTGACTTGCTTCTTGTATACAACTCCACATGTATTGAAGTGATACAGAATAATGAATCCAAAACTGACCTAGAAAGGCACATCTCAAGCTTCAGCTTCATAAACAAGTCTTTGTATATTGCGGCAATATTGCAGCCCAAGCCAGTAGGAGGGGATGAGGACACGGGACGAGGACACGGCAGTGGAAGCACACGTACCTGGAATATCGTATACATGATGCAGCTGAGCGACCGATTGTTGGTGTACTCGGCGACCCGGAAGATGTTAAGGCCCCACTTGTTTAGGTGTTCCAGTTCCTGTAAGAGCGTAGTGGGAGGAAAGTTGGTACACTTTTGCCACAATGGGTTTCAAGGGGGAAAGAGGTCACGAGAGCAGAGATGTGGAACAAGTGAAGAGAGCAAACCCCACAGTGTGTTCTCCCTGGCAGTCCAGCTGGAGCCTGAGCCGCCATTCCACACCGGGGACATCACCAAAGGCAAGACTGAAAACCATGTCACCAAGGAGACTAGGAACACTGCCCTCGCAGCTGCTCCAGAACACCCAACATGGCTTCAATCTAAGAGGCCATTTAGGGGCCTGGAAGCCAGGCAGTGTTTACATCAGTCCTGCCCAACCTGGTGCCCTCCAGGCATTGCTCAACTGCAACACCCATTCATCCCAGACCACCGGCCAGGATGGCTGGGGCTCCAAAACATCTGGAGCTCACTAGGGTGGGAAGCCTGGTTTAGCTCATCTGTTTTGAGTACAGTCACCAGTAACACTAAAATTTAGAGAGACAGAAGCAGCAAGGTTTTGCCAATAAGGTTTTGTTTTTTTTAATTACTGCATGCAGCTGGCTTAGAAATCAAACCTGTGAGCAGCAGAGCTTCTTCTAAAGCTTCGTGGCTCACGAGAATTTAAAAATGGAACAAAAAATTCATAGGTCCACCATGATCCTTTCTTCTCATTCTGTCAGTCTGAAGACAGCTCCTTAGTACTCCATGATTACGTATGCTGTGATTAAATTATGCAAACTACTTAAACAGGAATTTTCTGCTAAGGCAGTGGTTTGCAAATCCCTCCCCGCTGTGTGGACCACCTGAATGTTGCTGAGGGTCTTAGCTGGCCCATTGATCCTTTTTCTGCCTGTTGCAGTAATTGCAATGCACTTGAGCTAGATGCCGAATGATTTTAAGTTCCATTTTAATCGCTTCTTTTATTTCTTACACTGTACTTTATCGTATGAAAATCTGAATCCCATAAAATTCATATTGTAATACAATAAAATACAATATAAAAGAAGTAATAAAAATATAATTTTAAATCAAGATGAATATTTAGTGCAGGCATGCTGCAGACCACTTGGATGAAGCTCACGGACCAGAGTCTGAGAACCACCTGCACCAAGAGAAACATTTCTTCTTTTTACATTTCAGTAAATATTCCCTGCTGCTATAAAAGGACATTATTGGACCACTTCCTTCGGCCAACAGCACTGTATTTGTGTTAAGGGTGTTGTAGAGCTGCACACTCTGGAGCTTGACTTTTAAAGATGCCAAATCCAACTTTTTGTCTTGGTTACTCATAGGGTGTGGCTACTGGTTTAACACCACCCTTCCAAAAAGCGAACACTTTCTTGCAAATATAGCAGATGTGCTGAGTTCCCCCCAAGAATGGTGTGTGTGTGTGACCTGGCCAGGGCCGACTTGTCCACCAGCCCCCACCCACCAGCCAGCCACCTTACATTCATGAAAGTGACACACCAGGGTGAAGACACTTCACCCTGGTGTGTCCTTTTGAGGATCGCTGTGGAATTTGGGGGGCAGCCCCCTCCTTGAAAATATTGGCAGACCTCACCGCCCCCTGATGGTGCCCCTGAAATATAGGCACGGTAATTTCAGAAACAGTGGCTTCTGTTGCCTTTGCAGTATTGAGATAGCACTAAGATTATTCTGATACCATGAGGTAGATTGTAATTTGTACAACCCTGTTTTAATTTTTTAAGTGCATAAAGAGTGTTTTCTGTGGTGCTCTCCATATTTTGCGAGACTGCAACTCCTATCATCCCTGATCTTTGGCTATGCTGGCTTCTGCAGCAGCTGGGAGTCCAACCACACTGCATATCCTTTTGAAGGTTTATGACTACACATATATTTGTACTTACTGCTTCTGACTATACTGTTATGGCCTCCAGCCAAGACAAAATAATAAACTTGAATTAGTCCATGAGACGTGCTTAAGCACTGGGTGGACACTGCCACACAATGAGGTGGCCATCCTAGTGTAAGTTAAGGACATATTTGGTGGAACTGTCCTAAGATTGTGAATTCCTGGCAAGAGGTATTGACTGAGTCTGGACATGACATTCCCAGCTTCCCAACGCTGAGGCTGCCTGCTTCCGCCTTGTGCCCTTTCCTCGGGCTGCAGCTTCAGCAGGTCAACCCAGGTCATTTTAAACCACTGTTACTCATTAGATCAAAAACAGACCACACCTCCCGGTTTTGGACATAGCAGGCAACTGCGGCTGAAGAGACCGAGATTGAAAGAAGGAAACCAGCACATGAATGGGAAGCGGCGAGTGAAATGCTTGTAACTGGCTTTATGAATTGTGGCTGATTAAGCCAAGAATGTTACTTCCAAGCAAGTCCTTTACATCGTTTATAAAGGTAAAGAGCTGCGTCGTCTTGGGTTGATGAAATAGAAAGCAAGTCCCAACCGACACCAACTGGCTAGGAATGTGCAAACTCAGTGGTGGTAAGCCTCTCTGGTCAAGTGTGCCACAAGTCAAGCCCAAAGTATGAGGAAATAGGAGGCCTCGATAGAAAGTGCTGCACATGCAGATCTGCATGCTTTGATGACCCCCGTCCTTTTTGCCTCTAGCCCAGGGATCGGCAAGGTTTACCTTGCCCGGGCCGGTTCACTCCAGCATCTGAACAGAATCGATTTCCAGCGTCTGCGCAGACGTGGTTTCCAGTGCCACGGAAGCAAGTCCCTGCACTGTGCTGGTTTAGCGCCGCGTGCGGGACTCGCCTAGCGGGCAGCTCGGTTTGGGGGCGGTTTGGGGGCCGGTTAAACAACCCCTGTGGGCTGCTTGTGGCCCATGGGTCTTAGGTTGCTGACCTCTGCTCTAGCCCATTGAGCCTGGGAGTAAGATGCAGGACAGTGCTGGAGAGGCAAGGAAGAATACAGGCATACACTCTTGTCCAGGCATATTGCAACCTCTCACTTCCTGCACCTGTTCTGCCGTGACCATCTATTGTCTAGCTGCCACTAAACTGGCTGTTTGGGGGGGGGGAGGAATGGAGCACTCAAAAAACTGGGCAGTAGATTATCAAGGGGGGGGTAGTTGGAATGTCACATCCATTAACAAATTAACTACGTACAGTAGGCATGCAGGTGATGGAGAAATATTGGCTCAAAGACAAAGCAATTAGTTTTATTCTGGGTCAATGGAGAGAGCTCCCATGTCTTCTTTATACTACAAAAGGCAAGAAAGTACTGTTGCCATATGCCTGGAATTTCCCAGACATATCTGGCATGCTGCAGCCGGAAGAAGTGCCTGGATGGAAATGACTAAAAATGTCCGGGGAAATGTGGACGTATGGCAACCCATGTCGGCAGTGTTGTTTTTGGTGATTTCCCTTAAAAACAGTTCAATAACTTCTTCTTTGCTAATTTGCCAAAAAACGCTCAACAACTTTGCCAAAAACAAAGCTCTGGATTTTCACTGTTTGAAATATGGCAGCCCTAGTACTGTTGGTTCTGGAACCAGAACAGAGCAAAACTGGATTCAAAGAAAGTCCTGCCAGAGTCTGTGATCTGTGACCCAGAATCCCCATCAAAGCTAGATATACCCTTTGACTTTCCGCATCAGCCGATTCCCAGCTTCCTGCCGCCGCAAATCTCACCTTACTGAGCGGCTCTTCCTGGTCAGTTTTGACCCCAAAGCGGGGAATACTGGAATTGGTCAGGCTGGAACTGTGCATGAGTTTCTTGACTCCGCTGATCTGGCACATGGGTTGCTGCTTCTTCTTCTTCTCCCGCTCTTTCTGTGTTGGGGATGGAATCTCCACATCGTTCTGCTTGTCTGAGGATGAAAAAAGACTGCATCTGAGAGAGAGAAAGAGGACAAGGGCGAAAGACTGAAGGTGCCACTGTTTGACCTGCGCAAGAATCTCTCTGGGCAAATGTGCACCAAGGGGTTACATGACGTGGGTGCAGTTCTGCTCCATCTCTCCAAAACAAAACAGTGCCTACATCAGGCAGAGATTCATCGCTAGCTCACATATTCCAGCCTGAGCTCCTGGAGGCAAAAAGGCCAGTAGTCCCATTCTTCAGTGCCCTGCACAGAAGCCAGGATAGTTCAAGAAAGGATGGGTGGTCTATGGATGCTGGGTTAAAAACTGTACATGGGCAATAATTTCTCAAGGGACTTGGGAGGAGGTATTGTAGAGCCTTCAGTTACAGAATCATAGAATAGTAGAGTTGGAAGGGACCCTGGCAATCATCTATTCTAGTCCAACTGCATGCAGTGCAGGAATCTCAACTGAAGTGTCCATGACAGATACTTAAAAACCTCCACGGAAGGAGAGTCCATCACCTTCCGAGGGAGACCCTTCCACTGCTGAACAGCTCTTACTGTCAGAAAGATCTTCCTGAGTTTTAATTGGAATTTCCTTTCTTGTACCTTGAAGCCATTGTGGTGCACACAGTTAGTCCTGCCCCACTGTGGTCATACCGATTTAGCAGGCTTTTTCAGGGCTTTGAGTTGTGCTCAGGAAAAGCATAAGCAACTCCCAAGAAGTGTAACCAGTGGTGCTGCAATAAAAGTGTGCATGCTTTGGTCTGATTGCTGAAGGTACCTATTGGATAGTATCAATGTCGGAAGCAGCATGGTAACTATTTTTATGAGAGTGCTGCTGCCATTATGAATAGTAAAATACTGAACTTAAGGAGAAAACTGTGGTTCAAGCAAATCCTGTTCACCAATTATAGCGCCCCCAAGGTGTGTGTGGGGGCAATGCCATTGGAGGGCCATGCAGCCTCCGTAGTGAGGACTGCTTGTGCTTAGCTTTGGCTGGTTTGCCAGCAACGGCAGTTCCTGAACCGTGCTCTGATTATTTCATGGTTTGATTATGGCACGGTGCCCCATGAAAAGCTTCAGTCAAAGATGGTTTGGAAACTGCAGCTGGTTCAGAACGTTGCTGCAAGGTGGGATCATATTATACTGATCCTGAGAGCGCTTTAATTTTCTGCCGGTGTGCTACCTAGTGCAATTCAAGTTGTTGGTATAAATGCATAAAACCCTGAATAGGTTAGAACTCAAGTGCTTGAAGGAATGCCTTCCCCCTTACCAACCAACCAGTGCTGTAAGATCTGTAGGCCATGACAGAGCAGGGCTTTCTCAGTGGTGGCACCCTGCCTATGAGAGTCTTTCCCTGTACAGATCTGGTGGTCCACCACACTATTTTAATTCAGGCAACAGCTATTTATTTATGCAGGGTTTCTGTCCATCATGGGAGTGACCCTACTGATACAGCTGCATCACTAGTTGCTATATGGCATTGATTACTATACTGTGTTGTAGATTATGGTTTTAACTTTGTTTTTAATGCTGTACTTTGTGGAATCTGATAAACCCCCTGGGCTCCATGTGAGGAAGCGAAGAATGCAATAAACAGGTAATGCTGATGACTAAATTAGTGAAAGATAAGCAACACAACTCTCCACTCTAGCCCCACCCATACAAAAATGTGTCACCACACATTGATTCAAGTCTCCAAATGCTCCCTAACCATCTCTCTCTCTCTCTCTCTCTTTGTGCAGCAAATCTAGCCTATTTTAAAAAATAATAATAATAACATTTTTTATTTATACCCCGCCCTCCCTGGCCAGAACCTAGCTCAGGGCAGCTAACACCAATAAAAGTACAGTAAAAATATAATGGGGGAGGGGAACCCAATTTAAAATACAGATTAAAATACAATTTAAAATGCAGCCTCATTTTAAAAGTAGCCCATGGATCAAAACCATAAGGGGAGGGAAACATAAGGGCCAGACTGAGTCCAAACCAAAGGCCAGGAGGAACAGCTCTGTCTTGCAGGCCCTGCGGAAAGATGTCAGGTCCCGCAGGGCCCTAGTCTCTTATGACAGAGTGCTCCACCAAGTCGGGGCCAGTACTGAAAAGGCCCTGGCCCTAGTTGAGACCAATCTAACCACCTTGCGACCTGGGACCTCCAAAAATGTTATCATTTGTGGACCTTAAGGTCCTCCGCAGGGCATACCAGGAGAGGTGGTCCCGTAGGTACGTGGGTCCTAGGCCGCAAGGCAGTAACCCCCCATCCAACCCGCCCCAACCCCCCAATTCCATCCATTCCTTGAAATCTATTACCTGTGGACGAGGTATCATGCATTTGCATTCAGCCAGGACTAGAGGGCTCCACTGATCTTTTCAGGAAATGTGCACACTGGAGCTTCAAGGGATGGGGGCAAGGATGTAGTGATTCGGGGGCTGTAGGCCTCTAAGAAGGCTGTGGGGCAGTTTTGTGGAGAGACTCACCCTCAGGAGTGCAGGGCCTCGTTCCCCCACCTTCTTCAAGGACCGTCTCCAGGGGCAAGAAGTCACGGGTGGGGGGCACCCACTGGGAGAAGAGAGGAGGTGGTGGGGACAGCCTGCCCAGGGGTAGGTGGCGAGCCGTGGGTGAGCCCAGCGGGGGCAGGAAGTGGGGAGGGCGCAGGGTGAGGGGGAAGTGAGAGCGGGTCACATCATGGCAGGGCAGAGCTATGCCCCAATTATACCTGCGGGAGAAGCAGCGGCAGGGGGGCCTCATGGTCGAGTGGGGAGGGGGGCAAGAGGCCTGGGGCAAGCAGTGCACAAGCCATCGCTGCATTCTAGAGTCGGTTGCTAAGCAGCAGGATTGTGACGCCTCAGAGCACCCAGCCAACCAGCAGGCAGTGGGGCTTTCTCGGGAGGGCAAAGCAGAACCCTTTGTGGAGACACCTCCGTTGCTCTCCAGGGCCCTTCTTCATCCCAAACGCTTCCAAAAGATGCAGGGCTCCCAGACCCCTTCAAGCTCAGCTGAGCACAAAATCAGAAGTGGCTTTTTACCAAGACTGGAAGAATGTGAGGACATCTCTCGCGGAAAGAGAGATAGTGGCCCAGAACCTCCCATAGCCGATTTGCTAATGGAGCCACCTTTTATGCAGACAGGGCAAGAGGTCAGATTCAACCCCATCTTCCACAACAGGACAGCCTACTGGGTGACCAAGAGCATCCTGGGATTTGCTTGTGAGCTGGACATAATAGACTCTACGGGCTGCCTCCAGTATGGTGAGTGCTCCTTGACTTGCAGGCCTATTTTGCCTGAATGGTACAATCAGCTTACAGAAAGCAGACTCACAAAGAGGCACAGGCAGAGATGGGAACAGAAGAGGTTCCTCTCTTTTCCTCACCCCAACTTCAGTCATACCTCGGGTTAAATATGCTTCAGGTTGAGCGTTTTCAGGTTACGCTCCATGGCGACCCGGAAGTAACGAAGTGCGTTACTTCCGGGTTTCGCTGCTCACACATGACAGATGCGGCAGATCGTGACCCGCACACACACGTTCGCTTCAGGATGCGAAGGGGGCTCCGAAATGGATCTCGTTTGCATCCAGAGGTACCACTGTAGTAGATCCCTCTCCCAACTCTGAGCCAGGAAGAACTCAGAAGTCCTGGCTATTTCCTACAACGTAATCCCACGCCTGTTTCCACACAGCCAAGCATGGGATCCAAATATCCCAGCGGTTCCCAGATGCAGTCCTATTCTGTCCTGCTAGATGCAACTTCCTCTGCCAATATCAGAAACCACCCAGGTTTTCTTCTGCTCTGTAGGGTAGGACTCGGACCAATGGCTTCAAGTTGCAAGAAAGGAGATTCCGACTAAACATCAGGAAGAACTTTCTGACGGTAAGAGCTGTTCAGCAGTGGAACGAACTCCCTCGAGTGGTGGTGGGCACTGCTTCCTTGAAGGTTTTTAAGCAGAGCTGGATGGCTATCTGTCACAAATGCTTTAGCTGAGATTCCTGCACTGCATGGGGTTGAACTAGATGATCCTTGGTGTCCCTTCCAACTCTTTGATTCTGTGATTCTCCTTGCAGCAGCTCTATGCCAGCAAAAATAGTCTGGGCTCTGTGCCAACCAGCTAAATACCAATAGCCTAGATTTGATCTCTCTTTCTTTGATCTCGCTCACCTTTTGCACCTCAGCAGCCTTTACTGCCCCACCACCTGACCTGGGCAGGACATGCCGCAGTTGCTTATGTGGAGGAAGAGCGAGTGTGAATTCTGGCCCCAGCACAACTTGCCGCTGGCCTCAGCCCTCAGACCAAGTTCCGGCTCCCTCACAAGGCTCCCATTGAAGGGGCCGTTTGCATCAACATTTGCTTAAGGCTGGGTATTTGCATCTGCTGACGTCAATGGAGGCCTGGCTTCTTGGGAACTCAGTTAATGGAGGCACCCGGGAGTTTGCCTTGAATGTCCTCAGCTACCGACTGCCTTTTTCTGGCTCAGGGGAGCGTGTGGGTCTGTCGAAGAGAGATACAGGGAGGAATCTCCAACTCAGCAAGTGCCCGAATGACCACATATACTTGAATGCATTGTCTAGACACTGTTTTTCTTATGTCAACAGTGTACACCACAGAATGTGAGGTGGGCAGCATGGATTTGTGTCCCATATATGTGCCTGAAGTGCCTCACAGTCCAATCCTACGCTCCTTATCCATGGATTTCAGGGTGCTTTAATCAGAGTAAATGGTTTAGGCTCCAATCCTACACTCGCTTGCCAGTGAGTTAAGTCCCACTGAACCCAAAGGGCCTTACTTCTGAGTGGAAATATCTAAACTTCCACTGTTAATCTGCAAGTGGAAAGAGCGCAGCATTAGCTTGTCCAGCCTCACATGGCATGGCCCAGCCCTCAAACGCAGGAATCTGGATCCTTGGACAGGAGGCAGTAGAGCCCATTGTCAAATAGGAGGCACAGCCCTCAAGGGTGCTGGTTCCAGCTCTTGCACCCAGTGTTGTCCAACAGCTGAACTTCAGTGTGCAGGACAAATAATCTGAAACTGGAAATGGACATGTAACCTTGGTGTAAGGTGGGGTTATGCACTGCCTACAGAACGCTCAGCTTACTAGGAAAGCTCAGCCACACCTAACCGGGAAACAAAAAAACACTGAAGCAAAAAGTTTAAACAAGATAAGGCAAAAGAAACAAACACAAATGGGATGGAAGTGATATTGAATAGGGAGGGGGAAAAGAGGTGCGCCAAAGTTTCACTCTCACATATTTAAGGTGAGAGGGGGTCTTTTGGAGATCCTGCAATTTCCAGCAGTACTTTTCTCAAGGTGGTGAACATGGTTCTCCTCCTCCCCATTTCATTCTCACAACTATCCTGTGAGGTAGGTTAGGCTAAGTGATGGTGACTGGCCCAAGGTCACCCGGCGGGCTTCATGCTCTCCTGCTCTCCCAGGTCCTAGTCTGACACTCTTAACACTCCAACCACTACGCCACACTGGCTCTGAGCTGTTGAACTGTAACACTGGACAGCATAGTAGTAAGTCTCTTGGAGGCAAATTTGAATATGGATGTCCTCTGGCCCCTTTACATTACTTTCAACTGTGTGTGTGCTTGAATATGCAATTCCAGCCACATTCTCACGGTAGTCTTGGGGAACTATGTGAAAATGGAACTAGAAGTATCTTCATCCCACTCCCCACCCATTCAATGCCTCACCGATCATCAAAAAGGGGGTGCTTGGGGGGTTATGTATGTGAACAGACAGTGGACCTTTGGGTTACGTTACCTTCGGGTAATGTAACTTTTGGGTTGCGAATGTGGCAAACCCGGAAGTGTATACTTCTGGGTTTCGTCGCACGCGCATGTGCAGAAGCACTCTGCACACTTCGCGCATGCGCAGAAGCGCTCTATCACGCCGTGTGTGTGTGCAGAAGCAGACCTCTAGATGCGGACTTTTCAGGGTACAAATGGACCCCCGGAACAAATTAAGTTCATATCCGGAGGGTCCACTGCATTCATAAAACTTCACCTCTGCATTTGAGCTCAACTCTAAGGAAAATAATGTAATATTAAGATACAGTGGTACCTTGCAAGACGAATGCCTCGCAAGACAAAAAACTCGCAAGACGAAAGGGTTTTGGGTTTTTTGAGTTGCTTCACAAGACGATTTTCCCTATGGGCTTGCTTCGCAAGACGGAAACATCTTGCAAGTTTGTTTCCTTTTTCTTAACACCGTTAATACAGTTGCGACTTTACTTTGAGGAGCAACTCATAGCACGCGGTGTGGTAGCCTTTTTTGAGGTTTTTGAAGACTTTGGTGATTTTTGAAGCTTTTCCAAAACTTTCCCGAAACTGTGCTTCGCAAGACGAAAAAAATCGCAAGACGAAAAAACTCGCGGAACGAATTAATTTCATCTTGCGAGGCACCACTGTATATCCCTGAAGAGATGCCTAACAAATTTTGGGTTAGTTCATTGTTAGACTCCAACAGGTAATATGAGAGCCATTTTTAGATTACAGCTAAGCTATGCAGACAGACCTAAATACATTTTAATCAGAGCCTATGACAATGGACTGGAGAGATTAAAAATCCTACAGGCTTTATGGCAAAGCTCTGAACTTTCCATTTCAGATTCAATTCCTCTTTTATCAGAAACCTTAAAGAAATGTACAACTTTAATGTTTGCCATGGGATTTTAGATTTAAATTAATTATTTTTCCATGCAGGCCAGACAATATATGTTTATATCTCAGAACAACCCCCCCCCATGCCATGCACACACTTTTTAAACAGTTTAAAGAACTCTAATAATCCTGAGAGCCAAATTGTGTAATGGTGGAAAATTATACTAGGCGTTAATATATTATTATTATTGGGGGTTTTTTTCTTTCAGGGCCTCAACAGTCAAAAGGCACCTTTGCACTCACCTAAGAAGGTGTTGGAAATATATTCAGAGACCTGGTTTCCAGAGCGGCTCATTTCAGAGAAGTGGGTTAGTTCACGGTTCAGCATTCTTTTGAACTGTCAGACAGAGGGGGAAAGAGAGAAGAAGAAGGAGTTAACATGGGTTTTCTGTCACATACACAGGTATGAACAGGTCATGCAATTGTGTGTCACTGTATACAACTTACAGGACAGTCTGAATTTGAATATGTATGCATACATAGGCTTTGAGAAAGAGAACAACGGCAAAAGAAGACGTTATTGGATCAGAACAAAGCGCCCATCTAGTCCAACATTTGATTGGCACAGGGGCCAACAAGATTCACATGGCAAGTCCAGAAGCAAGACATGAATACAACTGCCTCTGAGGGCAAACATCATGGCCAGATGATGGCAGCCACATGGTCCAGGAATACCTGTGAGCCACTACTTGTGAGTAAATGTGTGAGAGAATAAACATGTGTGCCATATCTTGAATCATGTGTGTTCTTCTAGTCCAGGGGTGGGTAACCTTTGGTCCAGTTGCTGTTAGGACACCAGTTCCCAACATTTCTGGCCATCCTGGGTGGGGCTGATGGGAGCTGGAGTCCACCAACATTGGGGTGGGTGGGTGTTAATAATAGGTTCCTCACCACATTGCAATGGATTTCAAACTGTCTTCCTAGGAATTACAGCATTTCTAAGGGGGCTTCCTACTGAGAAAACTGCAAATAAGCTTGTTTTCCACTTCCAATCATCTCCTGCTCACTGACCATGCTAGACTTCAGCTGGGTTCAACTGGCCTGGCCAGTTCTCTTGTCTGAATAGGATGTGTGCACCCAATAACATGCACTGGAACCCTTTGTAACACATGCAGGGATTCACTGGCAGACAAACCTACATTAGGGTAAGAACCTTGACAATTGACACTCTTAGTAACACACATTACCATTGGCCATGCATATATTTTCATGTGCGTACACAAGCATGCATGTAGTTGTATTCAGACTTTTCCCACGTGTGGAGATGCTATTGTGTAGATGTGGAGGTACAGGGTCTCAGCTGCACAAGAACGCTTGTGCAAGCATGTGATGCACTGATACACAGTCATGAGAACTCACAGACTTCTGTTAATACTGTTGCAAAAGTTGGGTGCCACTCCCAATCTCTGCCAACCCATGGCAAGATTCCAGGGAGGTTCCAGGGTCTGTGCTTGTTTGAGATGCAAGACACAGCAGAGGCTGTCACAGCCTTAAGATATATGGTTTATTCACATATATATACTTTTAATCTGCGTGGAGTTTAGGAACTCAGCTACATTAGTAAAGAAACAGCGATTTGAATGCACTATAAATATGTAACACCAGATGGCGCCAGAGAACAGGAAATTTTAAAACACAGTTTTCCATAGAGATTTTTTCCCTTTTGTTATAGTGATCTAATTTTTGACTTATTTATAGCGGGGCTTTTTCCTGTGTCTAGATCCACCCCAGATCTTACAGCATGGCCATTTCAAGAGGGGCTTGTTCCCCACAGCAGTACAGCAGCTGATTCCAGCGCATTTCTCTCTACTTGCCTTCATCCAGCCAGCCCGTCCAAGATCATTCTGGCCTTTTCCCCAGCTATTGTGCCAAAGGCTCCAGACTCTTCCTGTGACATCATGCCCAGTTACCCTGGCAACTTTCCGAATCCCCAGTCTCTGTTCACACCTCTTCTCTTGCCTTGCCAATGGCTCTGCATTGTTTCTTAAAGGCCCTAGCTTGGCCATGTTGTTCTGCATAGGCTAGTCCAGGAATTCCTCCACAACTTGTATTTTCCCTTCATATCCCAAATAATCAAAATCCTACCATTTATTAATTTCTACTATTCACGAATAGACCCTGTTACCTCATATCTGTAACAATACAATACAAATACAATAACAATACAAAGGACCTGCCATACCCATGGACAGATGTTGCTTAAGCCCAAATGCAACCCAGAGTATGGAAAACTGACTTGCAAATGCGTGCGGACTCTCAAAACAGCTCAGGTTCAAGAGGGTTTCACGAGTGAAGCCTCAATCTATTGTGGCACAGGGACATCATTTACACAGAGGACAGGGAGGTCATCTCATCCACCGACCCATCCATGCCTCACCCACCAGCTGGCGTTTCAACCCATATGCAATCATTGCACATGTATAATTCCTTAGGGTCATCCGCATGTTTGACCAGCCTCATAAACTGAGTAGCTGTAATGGAAATGGCTCCTGATATTGAGAACGCAAATCAAAGGCACAAATTCCCTAGTTTCAATAAAAGAAATTCAATTGTTTTTAATCCATGTTGATAACATAGCTGTCTCTTTATTATGAATTTTTTAAAAAACAACAACAACCCAACAACAAATGTTCTAAAAATACAGGGGTTTCCATGTGATCTCATTGGGACAGGCGGTGGAATCTAAGCTGGTCCATGGTCTAGTTCAGGGGTCAGCAAACTTTTTCAGCAGGGGGCTGGTCCACTGTCCTTCAGACCTTGTGGGGGGCTGGACTATATTGGGGGGGGGAATGAACGAATTCCTGTGCCCCACAAATAACCCAGAGATGCATTTTAAATAAAAGGACACATTCTACTCATGTAAAAACATGCTGATTCCCAGACTGTCTGAGGGCTGGATTGAGAAGGCAATTGGGCCAGATCCGGCCCCCGGGCCTTAGTTTGCTTACCCATAGTTTAGATCGGTGGTGGGGAACCTGTGGCCCTCTGGATGCACGTGGACTGCAATTTGCAGCATCCCTGAACACTGACCACGCTGTCAGAAGTTGGAGTCCACCAACATCTGGAAGGCCACAAGTTCCCCACATTTGGTCCAGATGGATACACCAAATGACAGATGATGTGGTAGCAGGTTTTCATACCCAGCATTGAAAAAAAGTGTGGTGAGCTCATTGGACATCAAAATCTTTGAAGTGGTTTTTTGTGTGTGTTTTTTTGGTGGGTGGGTGGGGGGGCAGACAGACACATTGTCTGGTAATCCTGCATCAGACCTACTTCATTTCATCTTATCATTTCTAGAGCCTTGGTACCCCTTGGTGGTCTGAAGCTTAATCCCTTCCTGCAACCAGCACTACAAAACTCAGCACCAAGGATTTGGGGCAAAGGGACTGGCTTTCCCAGTTCGGCGCCTGACATTGCTGTCATTTCCAAACCCACTTTGTCCTTGAAAAAACTCCCGGATGCTGCTCCCTGGCAGAAGGGTTGAGGTGACTCATCAGCTCGTCAGCCAAGACATGGGTAATGCTACAGACCGCCCAGCTGCAGCAGCCTCAGGAAGAAACCAAAGGGAAAAACCACCTTCCAGGAGGACTTCCACAGTGCTGCTGCTTCAGCTGTTCTTGATTAGGGGTCAGGGTGCTATTATGTGGAAGTGCAATCCAAGGCCTGCACTTCTCTGATCCAGGACAAAAAACCAAACCCCTTCTTCCTTCGCTTGGACTCACCCGGGCATGCAAAAGCTCTGCAGACAGATGCTCTTGCGCTGTCCCTGCCAATCCGCCAAACAGGGCTTTTCTTCAGCTGCAAATCACCAGAACTCAGTTCCGGCACCTCTCGGGTAGGTGCCATTGCCATGATAAGAGAACAAGGGAGGCATTGATGGTGAGTTCCGGCACCTCTTTTTCTAGAAAAACAGCGTTGCCCACACATACCCAGCTAGAGCCTACATGGAAATTCTGTCCTTCATTGCTATTCCTCTTATACCCTGCCCCTCCTCCTGATTCAAACTTGCCCTTTCCTTGGTACAGGGTGCTTGAGAGGTCAACATGCTTCTCTGTGCCTCCTGGGAAAAGGGCAGAATACAAACTCGGACAAATGATCCAAATCACTGCTTCTTTCTTGTGTGAAGATGCAATAATACAGCGGACACTCAGGTTGCGAACGTGATCTGTGCGGGAATCACGTTCGCAACCCACAGTGGTCTCAACCCGCAGCGCCGTGTCTGCGCACGCGCCGGTTGCGATTCTGCGCACGTGCAAAGTACGATTTAGCACTGCTGTGCACGCGCAAAAACCCGGAAGTAACCCGTTCCGTTACTTCCATGTTTGGCACGGTGTGCAACCCGAAATCATGCACCCCAAAGCATCTGTAACCCGAGTTATGACCATAGTGGCATGTTTGAGCATTGCTAACACGGCTCTTAAGGAGCAAGCCAAGAACACTGGGTTAGTGTATTTCAGGCAAATCCAACTCCCAAGAGACTGTGATCTACTCACATTATAAAAATACTGGCTGTGATCTACCCATTGTTATTGACAGGCAAAGTTGTTGAGCTTTTTTAAAGGGAGCCAAAGCTTGGGGGGGGGGGAGATTTACCGCGATCTACCACAGACGTCTAGTGATCTACCGGTAGATCACGATCTACCTGTTGGACATGCCTGGTGTATTTGATTCCTGAAAAGCAGCTGCTTGAAGTTAGGCTGATCCCCCCAAAGCCCTGTGGCTGATGAGGACAACTTGCCTATGCAACTTGCCAAGCTAGCTTCCCAAGAGCAGTATATGGTGGAAGGAGGGGTGTGTGTGTATGTGTCCGTGTGTGTCCGTGTGTGCTGATTTCCTGCCTTCTTCCAAAACGCTTTTCACACCACTGGTTGTCTGCTACCACAGCCAAGTAGAAAAATGAGTAGCTGCCACCTAGGCATGTCCTTAGCCTGAGAGTACGGAGAGTTAAACCAGCCAGGGACCGTCACAAGTACAATCTTATCCCTCCTCCCACATCTTTCTCAAATGTTTAGCCAGACTTTCTCCCCCTGCATAAGGGAAGCTGGCCAGCAACAATACATCGTGTCTGGAGTGGAGTCAGCTGAATGTAGCTTCAACCAGATCCATGGGCATAGCCAGGATTTTTGTTGGGGGAGGGGAGTTGAGCTTTTGGGGGGAAATCGCCCCCCAAAGTTGCCGAGCTGTTTTTGAGAGATTGCCTCAAATGTTGTTGAGCTTCTGTTGGGCGGGGTGGTGGTGGAGAACCTTAGTTTTTTAAGCATTATTAATGCCTTTTGATACTTTTTGAGGATTGCCCCCCCCCCGACTACACCCATGACCAGACCCTGCCTTGAAGCA